GGTGTTTTTCTCCTGTGACGGGAGTTCTTGGGATCTACCATCTGAACAGCTTTCGACACGCCGTGCAGCAGCGTTAGCTGTAGTCGCCATGCTGTACGTCACAGCCCAGGCTTGTCATCTTATAACTCAGCTTTGTGCCTTTTGGCCCCTTCCTCCAATCCCACCCCCACCCCGCCTCTGAGAACCACCAATCTGATCTCTTTTTCTCTGAGTTTGCTGTGGTTTTAGATTCCACACGTAGATGATGTCATATGGACCTTGTCTTTCTCTGTCTGGTGTGCCTCACTCCGCAGAAAGCCTTCAGGGTCCATCCACGTTGTCGCAAATGGCAGGATTTTCTGCTTTTTGTGGCTGAGTAGTGTTCCAGTGTGCATGTGTGTGTGTGCACGTGTGTGTGCATGCACGCGTGTGTGTGTGTGTGTGCTCGTGTGTGTGTGTGCACATGTGTGCTCGTGTGTGTGTGCATGTGTGTGTGTGTGTGTGTGTGTGTGTGTGCTCGTGNAGCTGGGTCCTCTCCTGCCAGCATCTCACAGGAAAATGGGAGTGCAGGGGTCACGCGGGCACTGTGCTGGGCCTGCCTGCCATGCCCAGTCCCAAACCAGCAGCCAGAGGTGGAGGACCTGGGTCTGGTGACCCCCAGCAGACAGCGCTGCGCTGGCCAAGACCGGAGCACAGGCTCCCAGAGGGCGGAGGAGGGCTGGAGATAGGCGGCCTTGAGCACATTTATGGCATGTAGGTCTTGTCTTGCCTTTGAGTTATAGAAAGACCGTCTGCCCCCTCCCCCACGTGGAGGATGGTGGGGGTGAGTTGACTGAGGCAGAGAGACCAGGAAGGACCCTAGATGGTGGTGGCCCTGGTTGGTGGCAGCGGTGGGCATGAGAGGAGTGGGTAGGCTTGGGGGGACTGAGGGTGGTGCTGGGCTCGATAAGGGGGGTAAGAGACGGCGGTGCCCAGCTTCAGCCTGAGTGTGCGAAGATGGCCGTCCATTCCCTGGGACTTGTGCCCGGTTTCGGGCTGAGATGTGATGCCTGGGGACACCCTGTGGACAAGTGACCGCTGCACTTCAGGGTCTGGTGCTCAGGAGAGAGGTAGGGCTGCACAGGGCGTCGGGAGGAGGGGCCTGTGGCAGGAGGCCCTAGGTTCTGGGAGGGGTGGCATTGTCCCCAGGTGGTAGAGAGCAGGGGTTCCTCTCTCCTCCCCTGTGGAGATTCCAATGGGAGGGCACGCATTCCGGAAGACTTCTCAGCCCCCTTTCCGAGAGCCCCCTGGGCAGGCTGGGCATCCCTGCAGGAAACAGGTATCAAGGGGACTCGGGGAGGGGCAGCTATAGAAAGTGGGGCCAAGGAAGCTGGAGGAGGCTTTGCAGAAAGGGGGGGGGCCAGGGCTGGGTGCTGCCAGGGCGCTTCCCAGAGCTTGTAGGTGCTGCTGATGGGCTTGGACTGACTGACCTGAGTGGGAGCAGAGGAGGAGGGTGGGAGGAGGGGCCCCAGCGCAGGTTTAACTGCTGCTGGAAGGAGCCGGGGAGGCGGATGCAACGTTGCGCGCCTGCCCCTGCACTCAGGACTGTGGTTCCTCTGATGCGAATTTGGTTCGATTCCTGTGCTGGGTGCTTACCTGGTTCCTGTGTCGGTGTGATTTCAGTAAACGTTTCATGAAGATTTCGGCTTTCTAAACTCCTGATCACCGTCCATGTTAGGACATTCCCGCCATCCGAAGGCGTCCCCTGGGCCGTGTTTCTGGATGGCACTGCAGACTGGCCAGCCCTGCGGACGTTCCCTCCNGTGTGATTTCAGTAAACGTTTCATGAAGATTTCGGCTTTCTAAACTCCTGATCACCGTCCATGTTAGGACATTCCCGCCATCCGAAGGCGTCCCCTGGGCCGTGTTTCTGGATGGCACTGCAGACTGGCCAGCCCTGCGGACGTTCCCTCCAGTTGACGAAGCAGGAGTTTGCTCTCTGTACCAGTGTGTGCAGGGTTCACGGTGGCGGCCGCCCCTGCTTGGGAGCCTCTCGTGTGACCTTGGCACCCCAGTCTGGCGCAAACCATGACCACTTGAAAGCTGACCTATTTTCATTTGTGTCCTCGAGACTCGCTGAGTGCAGCGATGGCAATTACCCCAGTGACTGCCTGCCCCACGCCCTGGAGGCCTGTCATCGGGCTCCCAGCCTGGCGTCCCTTCCCTTCCCTTCGGATGGTTGAGGCCGTTCCAGAGGGTGCCTGTGGAATCCCTGGGGAAAGGTCTCCCGGGCGAACGTCATAATATAGGAACCAGGAGTGCTGACGGTAATACTAGCAGTGGAGGACTGAGGGACGCGGGCTGTGTGCCAGGCGGCATTTTAAACCTGTTCCAAGTGTAATTTCGCTGCTGCCCACCAGCTTTACGGGGCATGTGTTGTCAGGAGCCGGGCTCTCCCTGCCCCAATGTCTTCATTAGTGCTTTAAAGCCTCCTACTGCTTAGACCGTGTTGCATGTTCTCCTCGTTATAAAAGTGACACGTGCTTATTGTAGAAACCGTGAGCGATGAAGGACAAAGGGAAGTCAAGTCCCCTGCAGGCCACTCACCCGGGACAGCCGCTGTCACCATCTGGCGAGTTCCCGGATCGTCCCTGTTCACCAGAATGCACCTCAGCCAGAGGCCGGCCTCTGTCCGCTTGCAGATCCTGGCTTTGGGTGGGTCGGCAGGCAGGTAGGCAGGCCTGGATCGCCCGTAGGGGTCCTGCCGCTGTTTCAGAATGCTGTGTCCCTCTTGCTGCGTCCCCGTCCCTCCGGTCAGCTGCGGTCCTGGCACAGATAGTTGCACAAGAGGGAGCCAGGGAGAGGGAACGTGTAGGGTCAGTGTTGGGAGAACAGCTTCTGAGAGGCGTCTGGGCCCCTCCCGGCTCCATGCACCTGTGACAGGTCGTCTCT